GGGAGGGGGGGAGTGGAGGAAAGTGAGCAGCTCGCATTCCTGCCTTTGAAATGCTAACTGCTAGATAGATGCTGGTACAGAAAGGCGCGCTAATTAATAGGAAGACTTACGTATTGCTAACAAGAATGTTTTTGTTAGCATCCATCTCTGGGCCTGTGTTTTCCAGACAGCCTTAGCCGTCCTATACACAGAAGTGGCAATGGATCTCAACAATTTCTAAATATCATAACCCCAGAAATAATGAAAACCAGCAAAGAAAAACATGTATCTGTATCCAAAGAAAGTTCCTTTTTAACTGAACAAGAAATTACAATCCCAAAATTTCATTGCAAATGGGGAAGTCAATTCTAATGTCCATAAATTTAGGCTGAGACACAGCTACCAACTTGATGGAAGAGCCTGCTTCCCTGTCATGCCACTCCCACCACTTGGGGAAACCTCTGTTTCCATGACTTGCTAACAAGGAACTAAAATCCAGAGGACAGATGGATTGATTTCAAGTTTCTACCTTAAATCCTGCTGAAGAATAACCCCCTTGAGTAACTGGGAGCAAAAAAAGCTGTGATGCCATCCCGCTTTGGATGATTAAACAATAATTTTCCCCTCGTGATCTGAATTGCACAGGTTAAACTTCAACAGTTTCCTATATTCAGTGTGCTTACAGGAAAGCAGAACTGTACAGATTGCCTTTATTAATCTAGCTCCCATACAAAGATCCAGACCCATCTACCTTCCCTCCAAGGATATAGGCAAACAGTATAACAAAAATAAAATGGTGTTTTATAAATTTGAAAAAACAGGTAATTTGAAATTTGAAAAAACACCTAATTTGTTACACTAGTGCAGTGATAGCTAAACTTTTTCCCATCACGTGCCAAAAGCAGGGAGAGCGCAGGGGAGTCACGTGTGGGCGTGCCCACCCTCTGCATGCATCCACACGTGACTCCCATCCCCTTGCATGGGCGTGCGATCCCCGCCCTCCCCCCACTTTTGGGGTGAGGTGGACCTGTTTTTTGTTTTTTGGGCAAAAATCCCCCCCCCATCCCAAAGGCCCTCTGGAGGCTTTAGGAGGCTTCCCTGAAGTCTCCAGAGGGAGACCAATGGTCCAACGCACAAACCAGAAGTCCATTCCTGAACTTCTGGTTTTCCCATTGGGTTGTTTTTTTGCCCTGCAGAGGCTTCAGGGAAGTCTCAGAAGGGCAAAAAATGGCCAAAAATGAAGGCCGAAGTCATCTGGCCAGCATGCACATGCGCGCTGGAGATGACAGGGCAACGCCTCAGGTGCCCTAACATATGGCTCTGCGTGCCCCCTCTGGCATGTGTGCCATACGTTCACCATTAGAGTACTAGAGTCCCAGTATTCCTAAATTAGGATTCAGGCTATACTATATTTTAGATTCGTGTGTAGCCATCATTTAATTGCATATGTGCTATTATGAAACCTTATTGAGACTACCCCACTCCCCAGGCTGATTAATTTGTATTGGAAGAGGTTATACTGAATAACATTGTAAGCCTGAAATTTCAAAGGAATGAGGAGATGACTCCCTTTGCTGATAACAGAAGGCAAATACGGATTTGTAAAACGAAAAGAAAAATATAAAATAATTTAATTGCATATATTAATGTGCTAATGAGAAACCCTTAGATCTAAGAACAGCATTTATATACTAACAAAACTTTTATGACATACTACAGATATTCTGTGAAAAAGCTCCTTTAGTAGGAGCCCATGAAAGTTTTCTGAGACATAGAGTTTGAAAAGGGGAAAAAGGTGTGGAAGGCGAACATGTATTTTGGTGGATTTAACCTATAAGTGGATGGGCCAAATAATAAATTGATTCAGAAAAAACACCATGTTCCTTGCTTCCTGCCTGGTCAAGAGAAAAACACATAATCTGACTGCAAATTCTGAAAAGGGTAATTACAAATAGGTAACTGTGCCAATAAACTATTGCCCACAAGAATGAAACAGCTCAACATTCAGACACTACAGTGTCCTGCTTTTCTATGGTAATTGATGAAAAGCGATGGAACTGAATGGGATAAAAATCAATGTTCATGTTTTCAATGTACACACTATATTATATACATACAGTCCTGCCCACAAGGCCTTCTCCATATCTTTTTAAAAGAAAAATTCAGGGACACTAAGAAATCAATCGAAAACTTTCTATACGCCAGAATCTTCTTTAGCTAAGTAGTGCTTACAAACTGGGTCATTTTGTTTCCATTAGGATATGCTACAAGCATTTGCATCCACATTATGATTAAGATAATGATAAATAGACTTATAAGGAAGCAAGATAGTCCAAATAACCTAAGTAGAATTTAACTGAGGGCTGCACAATATGCCATACGCCCTCCAGTGCACAGATTGTCTTAAGACCAGTGTGAACTTGAATACACAGGAACTCCTATTTGAAAGTAATGTTACTTAAAATCATGCCAGAAGGCTGCAATTTTAGAAAACCTATATAGGTGTAGCTCCATTTAAAGAGATACTTCATCAACTGTATATGGATTGTAATTGGCTCACTGCTTTATAATTAGAAAGAGTAATCCTGTGGAGAGAATAAGGATTTGTCCCAAAGAATACTTGGCATCTCAACAAAACCATGAGCGCCAGTCAGGGCCGGATTTTCCTATAGGCTAACTANAAAAGCAAGAATAAAACTTAAAGTGTTGCAAGATGCTATAACAAGAGGAGGGCTGGGCTTACCTGACTGGGAGCTATATTATCAGGCAACAAATCTGATGTGGATTAAGGAATGGATAATATTAAGAAACGTCAAAATGAGGGTTCCTGACCAGTTGAAGGGCCCCTTTCAGGAGCGGCTTTGGGCTTCTTGGACCAGAAGCTCCGAGTTGTGCAGCTCTCTGGAAGGAAGCCCAGCCCGTCACTCCTGCCAAAGTCACTTTTACATGAGCAGCTGTTCCACAAGCTTTTTCCTGTCCCTGCTGCGTTCTCACCAGCAGGTTCAGTTCAGAGGCTATATTGTCAGAGCAGCAGGCAGCAGATTCTGGGGCTGTTCAACAAATCTGCCTCGTGGTGCAGAGACCAGCAAGAGCAACTCTGATACAAGCCCTGGTGCAATTAACAACCCCCATCAGCTGGAATCTGGGAGAAGCGTTTTCATCAGAGGTGGCAGTAGGTCAACTCCAGTGGCAATTCCAGAATTCATCCATATGGGTAGATCCAGCAGTGGGAGAATGTCCATTCCTGCTGAAAATCTCTTTCTTATCTAAAAATCTCCCAGTTTTGCTGGGACATTCCTCTATTGATATAATCCAATCCCCACCTGCATTCCTAAGCTTTGTGGTCTTCTCCTTGAGGCCAGATGGTGAGGCTGCCAAGGGACCTGGCTGTGTGCAGGTATTGTCAAGGAACTGCCAAGAGTTGGGCAGAGGGATGGCCTCTGCTTCTTCCCGAGATCTGTGGTTGGGC